ATCTTGTGAAGGAATTTTCTTGTCCCAAAAGAGTATGCCTTGAATCTGTTAAAAAGGCTCAAGCTTGACAAGTGCAAAGTTGTTGCAACTCCACTTGTTGTGAATGAAAAATTAATGAAGGATGATGGCGAAGAGAAGGTAGATCCAAAAGTTTATAAAAGTCTAATTGGAAGTCTATTGTATCTAACAGCTTGTAGGCCAGACATAATGTTCGCTGTCAGTTTGTTATCTCGATATATGCAGAGTCCCAGCACTAAGCATTTTGGAGCCGCTAAAAGGGTGTTAAGGTACATTAGAGGGACGATTAATTATGGAATCTGGTATAGAAATGTGGAGAATGGAGCTCTTATTGGCTATTCCGCCAAAAGGGCGTTGAGGTACATTAGAGGGATAATTAATTATGGAATCTGGTATAGAAATGTGAAGAATGGAGCTCTTATTGGCTATTCAGATAGTGATTGGGGTAGATGTTTGGATGATTACAAAAGCACTTATCGTTACTGTTTTTCATTTGGTTCAGGCATTTTTTTCTTGGAGCACAAAGAAGCAAGATATTGTAGCACAATCTTCAGTAGAAGCCGAGTATGTGGCTGCTGCATCTGCTACAAATCAAGCAATTTGGTTAAGAAAGATCTTGTTGGAATTGAATTTGTTGCCAAAAGAACCAACAATGATTTATGTGGACTATAAATCAGCCATTGCGATGGCTGAAAATCCGGGGCAGCATGGAAGAACAAAGCATATCAACATAAGGTTTCATGCTTTAAGAGATGCCGAGAAGAATGGTGAAGTTAAGTTGGTGCATTGCATCAGTGAAGATCAGCAGGCCGATATTCTGACCAAGGGTCTTTGTTTGAGTTTCAAAGGTTGTTGCAAGGTGTTTCAATGAAAAATCTCAAGGAGGAGTGTTAGAAAATTAAGATTTGTCTAGAAACTCCTAGATTGGAGATATTTTGTATTAGATATGTTAGAAAAGTAAGATTTGTCTAGAAACTCCTAGGTTGGAGATAGTTTGTATTAGTTATGTTAGAAAAGTAAGAATTGTCTAGAAACTCCTAGGTTGGAGATATTTTGTAGTAGATATGTTAGTCTTGATTTAAAATGAGTGGTGGTTAGTGAGCCACATAGGTACATAGTTTGGTGTGAGATATTTTGCTTATTATGTGGTTGTTATTCTTACACTTTATCTATAAATACACCATATGTAATGAAACATCTAGTGAGAAAAAATTGAACTCAAGAAAACTTAAGCCTTCTTCTTCACTTTCAGATTTTCTGTAGCAATTTACAGATGCTATTTCCTACTGTTTACACCTTGTAGACCTGAAGTTCTTCCTTTTCGTTGTAACATAAGAATTGTCAAGACATAAACTGATTGCAAATGAATTGTCTTCTCTTCTAAAAATGCTTCTGTTTGCCTTCGAGTTGATGATCCTCCTATATCTTAATAGTGTCAAAATATTGTACGTGGCTCAATGGCCTCAACCACAATCATTCATCATCCCAGCAATCTGTACAACATAGGATTCTCTCTTTACACCAAAAATATAAATGGAACATTTTTATCTTTCCTGCTGCTCTGATATAATATCCTAGTTCTTTCACCATAAATAATCCCAAAAAGACACAATGATGTTGTTCGCAAAGCTACTTACCTTTTCCTACCTATCTTCTGTAACCTCCAACATGCTATGCTTCATTGAAATGTAGACGGATACTAGGATCGATATAGGAAAGTATGCAATGCAATAGAGGTGGTCTATGTCGGTATGTCCTAGCCTTACTCCTAGCACATATTGATATTACACCAGCTCACTACTAGGCACCCCTCTTCGTAAGTTTTCGCTATTAAAATCTCGTCCCTCATTCCAACACTACTTCGGTGCTTTGGCATTCTAGATATTCTTCCAGACCTCCCTCTTTGGTTTCTTGAATGGGTTTTTCTGGATGTTCCAGAATTACGGCCTCCAACTCTATGTTATAGCCTTCATTCCCTCGATCCGACAGTCCTCATTCTCTCACGTGGCAAGCTGCTACTGTGAACAACAAAGTCAAGGATGCTTCCCCTCCTTCAATTAACTCGATATAGAATTATTTTACGGGGAAGTGTTTTGCCGTGGTCCACCTCTACATGGAGTTCTAGTTCTGCATTTGGACTTTTAAGAGTTAATAAAAACCAGAAGTTTCTAAGAGTTGAGCCATATTTTCCATTTTGTGTTTTACTTGATTAATTACTCCTTGTGTCCCAAAAGTTGATTTACTTTAGGTTATGTGGGTCAAACTGATAATTCTTATTTCATTTAGTTCAATTTTATGTTTTATGCATTAGTTTTTCTCATTTTGGACAGGGTGAAATTGACAAATAACAAAGTGATTGTTAGCCACACATTACTAAATACTGTATTTTTTTGTTGGCTATTCTTCAAATACAAGATCGGTCTAATTTTTGGGATAGAAAGGGCAGTTAGGATGTAGGAGTAAGGAGTTGAAACATTGTGCTCTAGAATTGATACTTATATATGTTGGTTAAAATATGCATTTTTTTTGTCCTAATGGTTAAAATATGCACTTTTTTGTCCTAAAACCCCTTCTGCTTTTTAGTTGCTTACGGAGATGGATGGCTTTGAATCGGACTTGAATATCATTGTAGTTGCTGCTACTAATAGACCAGAAGCTCTAGATCCAGCACTATGTCGGCCTGGACGCTTCTCCAGGAAAATCTTAGTGGGGGAACCTGATGAAGATGGAAGGAGAAAGATCCTGGCTGTACACTTAAGAGAAGTTCCCCTTGAGGAGGACCTGGAGCTTGTATGTAGCCTGGTTGCATCTCTTACCCAGGGCCTTGTAGGTGCTGACCTTGCCAACATTGTCAATGAAGCTGCTTTGCTTGCTGCTCGAAGAGGTTAGATCAAGACATATTGTACTGATTACCACTGTTTCGTTGCATTCACACGTGCTTACCCTCTTCATGGTTGATATTGGTAGCTAGCTATTTATTTGTGTTAGTTGCGAATGTGTAAAATTGGTAGCTAGCTAATTATTTGTGTTGCCGTAAAAATGTACCAAGTGTTCTTAAAAATAAAACAAAATAAAAAGGAGGGCCAGAAGGGAATGAAAGTTAGGGCTGTTGTTTGATGAGTATTTAGTTCATCAACTTGCTTCACTGGATAGCTATTTATGATTGGGAGAATGTGTGATGTCATTTATCTTGAAGCAAATAACCATCACAAATAGAGTAGCATGTGATTTGCTTTTTAATGAAAACTTAGTTATGAGGGGCTTATATTTTGTCTTGATATGAGGAAAATGATGTTTAAACGTTGGGATGATTATCCGGTGAAAACTTGCATGCCCTTTTATTGTTTCAAATTTTCTCTCACTTGCCCACCCCTGTACCAGAGCTCCTAATTAGCAGGTCTGTAATGTTTCTCTATTACAACCAAGCACTTCCTCATATACAATTTTGCTATTGTTTCCATTTACTTAGTGCATGTGTAAAGCCTTCTTTCTCTCCTCTGCTTACCTATCTTTTTATGCTCTTTTTTGAGATGGTAAACTGTTTCTTTTACCATGATAGAAATGACAAAATCGTCAGTTGTTTATTGTATTTTGATTATCGCGGTATTTTGTTGTTCTTGGTCCTTTCTTGTAGGATTTGCACTGCCCCCTTGTTAGTTGCTATTTTTTCCACAGTTTTTTTCTTCCTTGTACTTGTATTTGCTGCACTTGAGCCGAGGTCTTTCGTAAACAACCTCTTTACCTCCACGAGGCAGTGGTAAGGTTTGCGTACACTCTACCCTCTCCAAACCCCACTTGTGGGATTTCACTGGGTATGTTGTTGTTGATAGAAATAACAAAATCGCATCTGTTTTACAAAACCAAGACTGAATGGCTGAAGCCACCGACACAACAATATTACATTTATATGCATGTTTTTCAGGGGCTGATTGTGTGTCAAGGGAAGATATAATGGAAGCCATAGAAAGAGCAAAATTTGGGATTAATGATAAGCAATACACCCAAAGTGCAATAGGCAAGGAACTGGAGAAACTGTTCCCTTGGGTTCCTTCTTTCATTAGGAAGAACAGTACAAGAAGTGATGCAATACAAGGACCTCTGGGGTATCAAGCACTCAGCTGAGATATTAACCCTCTTGTTTGTATAATGTTTTTTTTTCTCCACATATTGAAGAATGTAATGCAATGGAAAAAATGGTTGTTCATTATTCATATTGCCGACCTCAACTTGTTTGGGATTGAGATATAGTATCAAGAATGTAACGCGGAAACTTATACATGAATTTTTTTTGGCAACAATTTGAACAAAGATTTTTATTTTTTTGGTATTAATGTCCCTTCTTCCCTTTTTTGGGATGTGTGGGTGTCACGACCCGGGAGCACCCCCTAGTCGTAACCGGCGTACTCGACCTCGAAGAGGTCTAATACAAGCCTCTTAGCATTCATTCATCGCATATACACTAAAACCATAATGAATTTAAAACTTTCTTTACCAATAAAACATTTAATTAAAAATAGCAAGCGGAAGACTTTCTAGACTTTATACATGATGTCTCAAACCATCTAATACTTTAGAGTACAAAATTCGGGACTAATCCCGTACACAACTCAAACAATACAAAAAGACATAAAAGAACATATTGGGTATTGTCCTCGAATCTATGAGGACTCACCAAGTCTTCATCTTCAACACTTAGAAACCTATCAAATAGCCATGACATGTCATCATCTCCAAATCCCTACACTTTAGTCAAAAAGGGAAAGGAAGGGGTTAGCACAATTAAGTACTAAGTATGGAGACCATGCAAAAACATGCCAAAAAGGACATTTTCAAAGAATAAATGCTTTCGTATCAATTTGATAAAACCTTTCCTTTACAAGTATAAGAGACATAATACAAGTCAACATTAACATATAAGACCATAGCCAACCATACACATACTCAACATATGTCCATATACAACCCATGCTTAACTTTAAAAGGACACATGTCATTTCATTACCATAAGACCTCTACCTAATATAACCTTAAGACACACTTGAGTAAGACAAGAAGTGACCGCCCATACAACCTCTTCAAGCACACTTAAGTGTTCCCCAAGATTACCTTAGATAAGGACATTTCCTTTACAACATAACATCAATAGACCAACATTCTTTAAGAAACCATTTTGGAGACATTCAAGCACATAAGGGGACTTTCACATAATAGTCGTTAGACTTAGGGAACTCACTTTAGTATCTTCAAAGCCTACTCGTGCCATGTGTAGATAGCATCCCATACTACTACCTACACGTTGTAGAACCTATCCAATAACTAGAGTGCACATCCCACATAATGGGAATAGGCATAACCGACATAGACCATACTAGCTACGTATGGAATTCGGAGTCTATCCTACTCCGTGGAGGTTGTTCTACTTGCCAAAGGTAGAACTAGTAAGCAACCCATGTAGGCACATGGTTAAGGGATGTCCAAGGAAGTTCATTGTGCCTAATCTCATACTCAACTAGGCCACCTTCCTAACCACATCCACTCGGTGCTAGCCTTGTTTCCCATAGAGTATTCAATCACATATGTACTTAGAGAAGGTTCCTTTTCTAGTTCAACCAACTCATAGTACCTCTTCCCAAGAAAGGCCCCATTTCTTAGTCATGGCCAATCAAGGTTCATAAGGATAGCTCATTAAATCCCCCTAGAAGGGTGCCTTAGGCCTACCGATCCAAGGTTCATCATTTCACACATGAGAAGGGCTACCACCATTAGGTCTACCGATTTCATGGTTTTACATTTACTTAGGAAAGCTAGACTTATGAAAGGGCACCATTTCTTAGTTTTGCCCATTTCACACATTCATGCATTCAAGACTTTAAGTAACAAGGAGGGACACTTTAGTCTACCAACCAAGTCACAACATTTTCATTTAAGGATACTTCATAATCCAACATCATTTCATATATACATCATGAGAAATCATACTTTAACTCACAATGCTATCCACTTTACATAGGATCATCACAAGATCACATAAACTCATTCACATCATACCTTCACATATAGCTTCACATAAAACTCATTCACATCATTCCTTCACATATAGCTTCACATAAAACTCATTCACATCATTCCTTCACATATAGCTTCACATAAAACTCATTCACATCATTCCTTCACATATAGCTTCACATAAAACTCATTCACATCATTCCTTCACATATAGCTTCACATAAAACTCATTCACATCATTCCTTCACATATAGCTTCACATAAAACTCATTCACATCATTCCTTCACATATAGCTTCACATAAAACTCATTCACATCATTCCTTCACATATAGCTTCACATAAAACTCATTCACATCATTCCTTCACATATAGCTTCACATAAAACTCATTCACATCATTCCTTCACATATAGCTTCACATAAAACTCATTCACATCATTCCTTCACATATAGCTTCACATAAAACTCATTCACATCATTCCTTCACATATAGCTTCACATAAAACTCATTCACATCATTCCTTCACATATAGCTTCACATAAAACTCATTCACATCATTCCTTCACATATAGCTTCACATAAAACTCATTCACATCATTCCTTCACATATAGCTTCACATAAAACTCATTCACATCATACCTTCACATATAGCTTCACATAAAACTCATTCACATCATTCCTTCACATATAGCTTCACATAAAACTCATTCACATCATTCCTTCACATATAGCTTCACATAAAACTCATTCACATCATTCCTTCACATATAGCTTCACATAAAACTCATTCACATCATTCCTTCACATATAGCTTCACATAAAACTTATTCACATCATACCTTCACATATAGCTTCATATAGGACTTTACATATAGCCTCATTCATATATAATAATATAACAATACAATAACACTCATATAATGCCTTCAAGGCCATAATCAATACACATTCAATAAGTACACACCTCCACCATAAGTGGATCAATCCAAACAAGAACAATTTCAATATAGCATGAAAGTAGGTCAACTTACCATTCTCCAAAGCCATAATCACCATTATCCAATTCTCAACAATTCTAACATCACAAGAGAATTTACCCATGACTTGCCTACAAGGCCATAATTCTCAACTCATCCATACACCAACAATCCACCAACAATAGATATAGATAACAATAGGAATCAATAATACAATTCAATCTAAGTACAATTCCATCAATACCCAAGCATTATCATAAAACCCACTTCATAAGCCAAACTTAGAGATTTAAGGAGATCATGGGTCCATGGAGTTTTTCACCTAAAAACATCAATTAAACCATAATATAAACTTGGAAATTTCGGATTTTGATATGGTTGCTCTAAAATTTGGGTTAGACCCATTTCCCACTCAATTTGACCCCCTAAACAAGAATATGAAGTCGGATTTTCGAAAAACGAAACGGATCTTTTTATAAGTAGCTAAACAAGTTTCCGGTAACTTCCGAAACACATTTTTAAGAACTTTTTGGGTCAAATTCAAATATAATCATTTCATTAAGTTCTCGACTCCAAACTCACATGTGAGGCTCTAGTTTCACTAGTTCGTTTTTAGGGTCGTTACAGTGGGGCTGAACATTTGAACCTTCAACATGGTTATAAACATAGATAAAGATCACTGGCTGATTTTTTTGCCCAAGTTTAGACGGACAAAGTTACTCAATATTTGTGTTGATAGGAGGCAATAGATACCTAATGAGATACTTGAGGTGGCCAGAAGCTGGTTTGAATCATTATGGGGTCGTTTGGTAGAAAAATAAATAATGCAGGGATTAGTAACGCAGGGATTAGTAGTGCAGGGTGTATTTTTTATCAAGTGTTTGGTTCATTGCTTCTAACCTCATCTTGTGTTTGGATTAAAATTCTACAAAAAACTTCTTCTCAATTATACCCTTGCATTATTATGAGATTTTCTATTTATGTAATCGGTCAAGGTAGATAATTGCCGGACAATATTATACTCTTATGGCCTTCTAACTAACTAGGAGGAACAATTTTGTTGTCATGTTTGCTATTTTCTCACTTAAATTATTTGAGGGTAAATAATTGTTATCTTAATAAATTAATCACTTAAAAACGTTAATTTTGATTTAAAATAGATAGACCATCTACTTTAAAATTGAAAAGACGATAAAAAATAGTAAAATACGAATAAATACATCTATATTTACATATAAAAATTGCAAGGTGTAGTTTTAATATGTATGCAATTTATAAATTGTTCAAAATACAAACAATTGGAAACCACATATAAACCAACAAATAAAATATTCAATTAAGATCACAAACGTCATGTGGTGATATATTTGCCTTTTCAATTATTAAATGTTAAACAACTTACATTTTAAATATTGTATTGATATGTATTGTATTTATTTATTAACAAACAACTCTCTCTAAATAATAAAATTTGTAAGCTAATTTATTTAAATAAATTACTAGTACAAATATAAAACATAAAATCAAGAAAATAAATAAAATTATTTGAGGGATATTTTTATCTTTACATAGATAATCTCATGGTATTAAATCCAATGTATATATTACTAATACCACCACATGGAAGGTATTAGTAATACCTCCTAATTCCTATAATACCATGTAGGGTGTATAACTAATCCATGGATTAGTTATATTTAGGCCCAAAAATTCTACCAAACATAGTACTAAATAATATCATACATAATACATGAATTATTTCTCCTAATACCTCCTACCAAACGACCCCATAGTGTTCATGTAAACCATTGTTACAAAAAGAATTTAAAAGGGTTAATAATGTTCCTACGACTTACTAGATTCCATTAATCCTAAACATGTGTTTTTTTTTTTGTTATTTGAAAAGAATGTCATTTAAATTTGAGTTTTTTTTATTATTAGTTTAATTTTCCGGACAAAGTAGAGACAACCACACCATTGGCCAGCCACCCGTCCTTCCATTAATTTCTCGTAATTTTGCTGTTGATGAAATCAAATGGCATTTAGTAGTTTAATAGAATGTAAAGATATTTTATAATTTGATTTGATGTAATGAATTTTCTTGTTTTATGACATTATGATTGTTGTATTTTTTTTTAATCAAAAATCTAATTTAAAATGTACAAAGTAGTGCATTAATTAATTTCTTAAAAATGACTTAGAATATGCCTTAAGGTTGTGATTGTGGGTATTGTAGAAGGGTTGATGAAGTTCAGGGTGTTGTTCTTAGGATACGTAGGGGTAGAGGAACCGGGCTTGATGAGATTTTAGTAGAATTTTGGAAGAGCACAGACGAGACAAATATGAAGTGGCTAATTGAGTTGTTTGATGTCGTTTTTAAGATGGGGAAGAAGCTTGAAGAATGGAGATTGAGCACAATGATTATGCTGTACAAAAATAAAGGTGTCATTCAAAATTGCAATAACTATAGGGGTATCAAGTTGTTAAGCCACACTATAAAGATTTAAGAGAGAGTAGTAGAAATGTGGGCGAGGAGGAGCGTGACTATTATTGAAAATTAGTTTGAATTCATGTCGCGACGTTCAACTATAGAGTCCATTCATTTTGTAAGAAGATAGGTGGTGTAGTATTAGAAAAACATAAGAACTTACAAATGGTGTTCATTGACCTAGAAAAGTCTTAATTACGACAAAGTCCCAAGGAAGGTTCTTTGGAGTTACTTGGAGGATAGAGGTATGTGACTTATATTAGGGTGATCAAGAACATGTATGATGGAGTCAAAACTTGAATAAAAACTGTGTAAGGAGGCTCATAACACCTCCCAATTTTGATAGGGTTGCACCAGACATCAACCCTTAACCCGTTTTTATTTGTCTTATCGATGGATACATTGACGAGACAAATTCAAAGTGAGGCGTCATGGTGTATATATGTTATTTGCAAATGCCATAGTTCTAGATGATGAGACTCGTGGTGATTAAGCACTAAGCTAGCTGGAAGTTTGTAGACACACCCTGGAGTCTAAAGAGTTCAGGTCGAGCAGGCCCAATACAAAGTACTTGGAGTTCAAGTTCAAGTTCAGTGATTATGTGGAAGTGAGGCTTGATACACATGTCATCCAAAAAAGAGGAAGTTTCAAGTATCTTGAGTCTATTATTCAAGTGAATGGGGAGATTGATGAGAATGTCACTCATCGTATTGGTGCAGGATGGACGAAATGGAGGTTCATATGAAGTCTTATGTGATAAGAAAGTACTACCTAAGGTTAAAGACAAGTTCTACAGAGTAGTTGTTAGGCCAATTTTTTTTTATGGGAAGGAGTGTTGACCAATCAAGAACACTTACATTCAAAAGATGAAAGTTGCGGAAATGAAGATGTTGCGATGATTGTGTTGGCATACTAGGAGAGATAAGATTAAAAATAAGGATATCTAAGATATGGTGGTAGCAGCTCTAGTGGAGGACAAGATGCAGAAAGCGAGAGTGTGAGACTGAGATGATTTGAGTATGTGAAGAGAAGAGACACATATGTCCCTGTGTGGAGGTGTGAGAGGTTGGTCATGGATGATTCTAGAAGAGGTATAGGTAGACCGAATATATATTAGGGGAGGGGGAGGTGATTAGATTTGACATGACATAATTTCAGCTTACCGAGGACATGACCGTAGATAGGAAAGTGTAGAGGACGCATATGGATATACAAGAATAGTAGGTGACAATGCGTTGTTTTGTTGTCCATTCATATAAAAAGTCGTGGTATTGCTCATGTAGTTTCTTGTCCTTTAATTTTTGTTACTATCTGTTATTACTTGTACCTCAATTATTGTAATTTTGGTTATTACTAGCTGCTATTATTGTTAGTGTTTGTTGTTTTTTGTACTTTCACAACTTTATTTTTCGAAACTGCTTCGGACTGTCTTCTTGAATCAAATATATATTAAAAACAACTTTTCTATCTTAAAGATAGTAATAAAACTTGCGTATATGCATCCCTTCCCAAACTCTACTTTGTGAGACTAGTACAGTTATTTTATATTGATAGTGTAAATATTTTCTTATATCAATATATTTTGATATATTATGATAAAAGATTGCTTTTTTATTTTTTTAAGGTACCAATTAATGTTTTTATAGAAAATTTCATACAGTTCCCTATTAAATATGATGTGATGATATAAATTTTATACACAACAAAGCAGACAACATACATGCTTAATTAGAGACATTAAAATTGCATTAATAAAACATCCAATATGTTCAAGTTTAATCTCCCACCAGCAACATATATGTGGAGATTGTTTTGTCAACTAATTAACACAATTGGACAAGAATTAAAGTTGTCCTGATCAAACGCTCGACAATTATTCTAAGGTACACACGTATTGTTACACATCCATTATTACTACCTATATATACCTTACCTATTTGCTTTAATTTTCAACATCACTACCAAATTAATTAAACACTTTCTATTAATAGTTTATTTTCTACATTTAATATTTTTTTTATTGCAAGATGAATTCATCTCAGAAAGCCAGTTATCATGCAGGAGAGGCTAAGGGTCAAACTCAGGTTCATTAAATATATATATCAATCTCAAAAATATTTTCTATTATTTGGATTGATTCACTACTAGAAATAGAAACAAAGACTTTTCACACTGCGAATTAGTGAGAAATTTATGTTATAAAACATGAATTTTCCAATCGTTTCCCATTGAATCAACACACTAGGAAAATGCATGATGGAGAACAGATTCTCACGTGGGGAACTTCTTATTTTTTTCTTTTACACCGATTCAATCCAAATATCCGAGAGAATAACCATTGAACATTTTTCAATGAAAATTTTTAGTGAGAAAATAGTGATTTTTTAGTAGTGATTAATGACATGTCATCTTAATTAGTTCATAAATATATATTTCAGGAGAAAGCTAGCCAAATGATGGACAAAGCTAGAGATACTGTCCAATCTGCCCAACAATCCGTTCAGGAGGTTTGTCTATGCAACTTGTATTATTATTAAAAAAACTTTTCTTTATATATATTACTTTTTTTTTCAACAAAATATTAACTCAACATATATATATATAAGGATAGACTTAAAAATAAAAAATTGAAACATGTATTGCAGCGAGTTTGTAATAATTACCCTGTGAAGACTCACTTTCGCTACGACTCTATGTTATTCTTACTTGAATTTTTCTTCATAATATCTGCAGACTGGACAACAGATCAAGGCTAAGGCACAAGGAGCTGCAGATGCAGTGAAAGATACTTTTGGAGCAAACAAATAAATTATTGGAAAAATTCAGTTCTAATTAGTAATTTAAGTTCCATAAAGTGTTGGTTATCCAACCTGGATTTTTTAGTTAATTTTTTTATTTTATTTTAATTTTCATGTTAAGATAAAGGCATTAATTGCCACAGTGAATTTTTCAGTCAGTTAATAATATGATTTCACGGTTTGAAATTATTTCTATGAGTATTTAATTTTTCAAAATTCTTCAATTACTATAATTGTTAAAATCTATGGGAGGGTGGAAAGTCCTATGTTGGGTCCGAATGCATCCACATGCAAGTGTATGTGGTTACATACTACATGCAACTATGCAATCATATCCGCCAAAACTTATCTTAAGCAGTAAACTTAAAAAACAGATTTCGAATCAATTCTCAACATTCCCACTTGATTCAAAATCATATCCGCCAAGACATAACATAAAGTAATTGTGCTTCGTTGGAGGAAGTACTTTGGTAAGAATATCTGCAACTTGTTCTTTGGTGCTACAACCCTCAACTCAATCAGTCCTTCTGTAACGAGTTCATGGATAGAATGACACCTTTGATCTTTCATGAGTCACAATGTTTGGCATGTTGAAGATATTGCTTCGACATTTTCAGCCTCGAAAGTAGACAACACTGCTTTTGGTTGTGTTTTTGAGCTCCAAGTAATAGCTGCAGAATCAAGAGTGATAAGGTTCCCAAAAAAACTCTCCCTATCATCCGAACACCTTACCCACAATCACTATCTCAATAACTATAGAGATTAAAATTAGAACTTTGGAAGTACCATGGTCCAAATTTTGTAATTTCAGCAACATAGCGCATGACTTTCTTAGCTTCTCCAGGATGATGCTTTTGTATCACCTAAAAATGTCTAAGCTAAGACTCGAATCATTCTTCATTTGCATATAAGGTCGTATCGAGTGATTCTTAAATTGGGCTTAGGTGGTAAGATATATTCTTTAGTGTGGGAATAGATTTGGAGAGGAATTATGGTCATAAGAATACCCTAGCACAAAGTTTAGTTGAAAGCTTTCTTACCGATTGCGTTTTGATATAAGATTCAACTTATGTCAACTTCAAACACTCATATAGATCTATGAGTATTCTTTCCAACGCCACCAAGTATTTCTTATTTTGCATTTGGAGTAAAATGTTATGGTCGTTTAACTAGAACATGTCCGGGTAGAGAAAATTCAGCGAGGACACCGACTCATTTATGGCGAATCCCTGAATGGGTTGGCGAATCATTGAATTAAATCACCGAAATATCCTAAAAACCATAAGTCTCTGTCTATTTTGGTGATCTAAAGCCCTACTTGGGACCCTCCATCACTAATGATAGCCCGAGGGGTGCCAAATCTTGCAAAGATGTAGCGTTTTAGAAATTGAACAACGCTCTTCCCTTCATTGTTAGGTAGTGCCACCGCTTCTACCCATTTGGAAACATAATCCACATCCACCAAGATATACCTGTTACCAAATGAGCTCACGAACGGCCCCATGAAATCTATTCCCCAGACATCAAATAACTCAACTTTCAGAATAGGCTGAAGAGGCAACTCATTCCTTCTGGACACCCCACCTTGTTTTTGACATTGCATACATTTCTTGACAAACTCATGAGCATCTTTGTTGAGGGATGGCCAGTAGTACCCACTTTGAAGAATTTTAGCGGCTGTGTGCACCCCGCTACGATGACCCCAACCAGTGAAACATGAAAAACATATAGAATTTTGTTGAACTCCTCTTCAGGTACACATCTCCTAATGATATGATCTGCACATTCTCTAAATAAATATGGCTCATCCCAAAAGTATTTATTGACATAAAACAAGAATCTCTTTTGTTGGTAGAAGTTTAGATTTTCCGGCATCAGTCCACATACCATATGGTTAGCAAAATCAACATACCAAGGAACTTGTTTGAAAGTGACCGAGAATACCTGCTCATCAGGGAATGAGTCATTGATATCAACCTCCAGCTCTTCATTCTCCTTGCCTTCTAACCTTGATAGATGGTCAGCCACCTCATTTTCACACCCTCTTCTATCTTTGACTTCAAAGTCAAATTCTTGCAACAATAATACCCATCTTATCAATCTTGGCTTGACATCTTTCTTCGCCATCAATTAATGCAAAGCTGCATGATCAATGTGAAAAATCACTTTGGTGCCTAACAAATATGCCCAAAGTTTTTCAAAAGCGTATACCACCGCAAGTAATTCTTGCTCAGTAACCGTATAGTTACGCTGGGCACCATTCAGGGTTTTGCTTGTGTAGTAAATGGGATGAAATAACTTGTTGCATTTTTGTCCCAACACGACACCTAATGCTATACCGCTAGTATCACACATCATTTCGAAAGGTGCCGACCAATTGGGACTAATGATAACCGGGGTGGAGATCAATTTCTCTTTCAAACACTTAAAGGCTGCCATACAAGCGCCATCAAAGTAAAATTTTGCCTCCTTTTCCAATAACTTGCATAAAGGGAGTGCAATTTTTGAGAAGTCTTTGATGAATCTCCGGTAGAACCCGGCATGCCCCAAGAAACTACGAATGCCTTTTATCGAGATTGGTGGTGGTAACTTCTCAGTTACCTCAATCTCTGCTTTATCAACCTCCAGCCCCTTTTGCGATACCTTGTGGCCCAAAACTATACCTTCCCTAACCATGAAGTGACATTTCTCCCAATTTAGGACTAGATTAGTTTCCACACATCTTTGAAGAACTTGCCTAAGGTGTGCCAAACATGTTTCTAAAGAATCGCCCACAACTGAGAAGTCATCCATGAAAACTTCCATTGAATCTTCTACCATATCAACAAAAATAGACAACATACAATGTTGGAACGTTGCCGGGGCGTTACACAACCCAAAGGGCATCCTTTTGAAGGCAAAGGTACCGTAGGGACAGGTGAATGTTGTCTTCTCCTGATCCTCCATATAATAGCGATTTGATTATACCCAGATTACCCATCCAAGAATCAATACCATCCGGACTCCGAAAGTCGATCAAGCATCTGATCTATGAAGGGCATGGGGAAGTGATCTTTTTCCGTCCATGAATATAACTTCCGGTAATCCATGCAAACCCTCCATCCGGTTACCGGTCTCATTGAAACTAGTTCTCCTTTCTCATTAGGGACTACCGTGATACCCCTCTTTTTGGGTACACATTGCACCGGGCTCACCCATTTGCTATCCGCAATAGGGTAGATCACGCCTGCATCCAACCACTTGATTATCTCCTTTTTTACTACTTCTTGCATTGGTGGGTTCAATCTCCTTTGATGCTCGACACTCGGTTTGCATTTAGTATCAAGTTGAATTTTGTGAGTGCATATGCCAGGAGGAATACCCACAATGCCAGCGATTGTCCACCCTATAGCCTTGAAGTACCTATTCAACACCTCAAGAAGAAAATTTACTTGCCCTTCAAGCAAGTCAGCTGCAATAATAACAAGGTGTTGTTCGCCCCCAAAAATGCATATCGCAAGTGAGCCGGGAGTGTTTTCAACTCCAACTTTGGTGGTTCCATCGTAGATGGTTTTGCAGGAGGATTTTCTCGATCTTTTAGATCAATGTCTAGCTTTAATGGATTCCTTGAACATTGACCCAATCCCGAACGGGCAGCTACCACCTTATCGTAACCTTGTACTTCGGTCTCATCATAATTCACAACCACCACCTCAAGTGGTTCACTCATACACAATAAATGGCTCACACTAGCCACTACTTCATCAATTACATCAACTGTCGAGACCACATGAATATCGCTTCGGTGCTTCATTGACTTACACACATTAAAGGTGACTTCATCATCATTCACCCGGAACTTTAATTCTCCACTTTCAACATCCACTAGCGATCTTCCTGTTGCTAAGAATGGTCTTCCCAAAGTAATGGGAATTTCAGCATCAATCTCGCAAAAGGATGACAAAATCTGAGGAAAGATGAATCGATCAACCTTTACCAAAATATCATAGAGTATTCCCATAGGATGTTTGATTGACCGGTCCGCCATCAAGAGCCTCATTGTTGTGGATTTTGGTTCACCCAACCCAAGTTGTTTATAAATTGCGTATGACATTAGATTTATGCTTGCCCCCAAATCACATAGGGCTTTGGCAAATTAGAGCATGCCAATAGTACATGGGATAGTAAATGCTCCCGGATCTTCTTTCTTTTTAATTGTCTCACTGGTCATAATTGAACTATATCTATGAGAAACTTTGATTGTCTCAAAATCCAGGCTTCTCTTTCTAGTAACTAACTCCTTCATGAATTTGGCATAACCCGGCATCTCCAACAATGCTTCTACAAATGGTAGATTTATGGAGAGTGTCTTGAACACTGACAAGAACTTCTTGAACTCCTCATCCTCATTGTTCTTCTTGAGATGTTGGGGAAAAGGAAGGGTTACTTTGGGAAGAGGTTGCACTAATTTTGGGATTGAGGTGCTCTTTCCTTTATCCTCTTGTAACTCCTTGGCAAGGTTTTGCAGAATGCGAACCTCTTCTTCCTCAATATCTTTTCCTCTTCAAGAGCTTGAGCTTCATCATTCCCCTTCATATCACCAATCACTACCTTACCACTTCGAGTAACCACAACCAGATTTTTGTCACCATCCTCCCTCAAAGTTGTTGTTTAATCAATTTCCTCTCTTTCGATCACCTGAGGTTCCAATTGTGCTGAAAGTTTGCTTAATTGACCTTCAAGTTGCTTGATTGTGTCAGCATGAGAGTTCACTCTATTGTTCAATGAAGAAAAGTCATCTTTCATCCCTTTTAGCATGTCATCCGAGCCCTCTACCCTGTCAAGGATGCGAGATAACAAATCATCCACTCGTAGGCTACTTGCACAACCCTTTGATTTTGGGCTATCACTCGATTGTGTATGATCCTCTTCATGTTCATCTTCCCTTCTCCCATGAATACTTTGTTCAGCCCATTCTTGATAGTATCGCTTCCGCTCTTCTTCCTTGTGGTAGTTCCAACCTTGATTCCTACCCTACTTCAAGTAGCTTGGGTGGAAACCCTCTTCAACATTTCGAAAGTTCCA